TATCAGTAATCCTAATCGAGGATTCAGAGAGATTACATGGAAACATCGCATAAGAAATGAGGTATTTAAATATAATTGAGAATATCAACGATACAAGCAGTATAATTCAGCTATATCTTTAAATTTAGGAAAAGAAGATTCCCGATTATTCGCAAGTACCAGTACACAAAGCCCGCTTCGGATACGCAAAAGAACTTGTAAAAGAATTCGAAATCAAGACGGTATTAACTTTAGAATTTAAGAAAAAATGGTTTTCGAAAGAATTGAAGTTGCGTCGGTCTCGTGTGAGCAAACTCCCTGCAAAATTACGATTTTCACTTTCTATAATAATTGAGGAAGAAAAAATTCAAGACATTTTTGGAGATAATGACCTGATTGACTGCAACCATCCTAAAATTTTGCCTGCTAATATGAATAATAAATTCAAAGATACTTCAAGATATGATTTTATAAAATATTTAGAGCAGAAAAAACAAAAAGTAGAAGAGGTTAGAGTCTTTTCTTTACAAGAGATCGAAACAGAATGATGATTTCATTTTTTTTCCATTTGGATTTACTACAGTAGTTATTTACTTTCTATTCCAAATATTTTTGGTATTTAATTTATTAACTATTTTAAAGAAAAAAGTTTGATTTTAATACATCTCTACATTATTTATAAAATATTGGAAAATTTCATCTGAAAATTAAATGTTTTTTTAAAGCTTCAATGCCATATAATTAGCAAATATTTTATAGTTTGTATATTATTTAAAAGTTTATTTGACGTAAACTTGTAATAACAAAGTATTGTAAAATTAATTATATTATTTTTTTTTAAAAAACAATATAATACACAATTAATTTTTTTAATTGTAAATTATCAAGGTTTAATTGTATAAAGAAAAACTTATAGCAATATCTTTTTATAATGTTATCTTTAATATCTTTTCATTTATGTAATAACCATCATCATTTTTTCTTTTTTTTTCATGCACAAATATATTTTTAAATTTATATTTAACCAAAATTATTAGTTCTAACAATTGTTTATTATAACTTTTATAAAATTTCTTTATTCAAATTTAATATTGTTCTATATTAACACATAAAAATTTGCAATCAAATTGAAAAACATATTAAACTCAACTCTAATAAAAAGATCTATATATATTTAAATTTCAATTATTTTTTTATATTTTATTATAACAAAATTAAACCTGTTTAAATCTGTTTTAATAATAACAATAACAAAACAAAATAACAATTTACAATTGTACAAAAAAATAAATCATAACAAATTATTTATAGTTTAAAATTTTTAATATAATTGAAAAAAATTGCTTCTGCAATTTTTTTGACTTTATTGAAATTTGTTAAAAAATGTTTTAAATTTGATTATAATATTTTATTTAATTAATTTTATAAATAAATATTTATTAAAAAGTAAAGCTTCTAACAAACCAAGTTGAGTTGACTTAAGATATTTTTTTAGATATTTTAGATATACTATATTAAATTTCAATCAAATTTCACAATATTATTTATATTATACAAATTTATGTAAGTTTATACGAGTTATAAAATAAATCATTTTTCAAAACTAGTATTTTTAGCAATACTATTTAAATATTATGTTGATATTAAATTTGCTATAAGTTTAATATAATAGGTTATAATTTATATATTAAATTTATTATAAATTGATATCATTTCAATACTATTTTAGTATTGATTCAGAACCTTATTTAAAATCTTATTAAAAATATTTTAAAATAAAAAAAAACTTTAATTTAACAAAAAAATTTTTTTAAAATATTAATATAACAAAATTTTATAATAATATAATTAATTTAGTAAATATTTTTTTTGTAGATAAACATTATAACTTTATTAATTGTAAATTTTTTTAAAATTTATACATAAAAAAAGTGACAACATCTCTTATATAACATTCTAAATTACTATAAATATCTACTTAGAATTAATAATAAGATTATTAAAATTGGTTATTAGATTTTTGTAATATAAAGTAGAATTGTAACTACTATTAATGAATTTGTTTATAACTAGTGTTGGGGGTGATAACGGCGAGTCTGTCACTACGTCGCGATCGCCGATCATGTAACGTCGAAAGAGGCGTGGAGATGTGGCACGAGGTAAGTGAAAGTGTTAAATATTAGTCTGAGTTTATGATAAAAGGACAGTATTTTATTGTTGCTTTTTCTCTAGTACATTCCTCTCTTTATATACATGTTAAGAAATCCCAAAAATCCCCAAAATCCCTAAGATCCCAAAAATCCCAAAAATCTCTCAAGTCCCAATTAAACCCTAATTGGGCGAGGATGACATATGTTGAATCTATCTAATTTTTTGGTCCCTCTTACACTAGTAATAAAAGATTTACAATTAATTTATTATAAGAGTTAGAGTTAAATCTGAAGTTTGATATTTTTTGACATGAATTTTTTGAATTAGTATTTCTTTTTGGCTAATAGAGATTTGGATCCCACCAAATTCCTGTAATATGAGATATTAATTTAACAAATATATATTATATTATATCCTATCTTATATAAAAATATGTTATATACTAATCCAATGAACATTGATATTATAATTTCTATAAAAAATATAATAATATGACAATTATCTAATTATTATTATAATAATTATTAGAAGTTACAAAAAAAAACATATAAAGTATCTGGTTTTAAGCAAGGTAACTTAATAATCATTTTCTATAATATCTAATATTTTTTTATAGATTATTATAAAGACTTTATCTTCAATTATCTAATAATTTACTTTTTCAAGATAAACAATTGTAAGTAGTCTAATAATTTTATAGGCAATAAGATAATATAAGTTTCTGACTATTTAAATAATTTAGAAAACAAATATAGCATAAAATATAAAAAAATCTTATTTGTTTTTATTTTTTTATTATTAAATTTGAAAATCAAATATTTAATTGTTTTTAAAATTTTATATATTAAAAATAACTTGCAGTAAAAAAAAATTTATTTAATCTTTTTTTTAAATAATTTTTATAAAGATTATATTATCTACAATTGTAAAAATAAATTTTTGTAAATGTTTTTAAATATACAAAAGATCATACAAGTCTTTATTCAAATATATTAATTATATAAGCAATAAATATAGTAAGAATAGTATTTTTTTCAATTTATAAATTAGATCAAATTTAATTTTCTTAATATTTTAGTTATTATTTCAATTATTTAATATTTATTAACTATAAATATTGTTTATAGACAAAAATTTAATTTTGCTATATAATTATATATAAAAATAATAGAATATATTATACTAACAAGTAATAAATAAATTATAAAAACTAATTAATAGATATTTTATAATAATTTAAGTATAATAGTTAGTAATATAGATAAAATTTATTATATTTTTCTTTTTTTAAAAATATGATTTTAAAAATTAAAATTGAACAGACTTATATAAACTTGCATAAGATTTAAAACATTATTAAAAATAATAATAAGTTATAATTCACATATTAAATTTAATATAAATTTAAAAATTAAGAATCAAATTAAATCAAATTGTTAAGATTCTTGTTTAAGAATATATATAAGTATTACTTTCAACTTTTTCATTTTTATTTTTCTTTTAAACATTGCATAATTTAAAATAAAATCAAAAAATATAATAGTAATATTAACAATATTTTGACATGTTAGCCTTAACCAATATTTTTTATAAATTGTGTCAATAGTAACAAGCTAATATAAAAATAATTTTATATAGTCTAATGATATATAGAATAGTTTATAAATAATAATTTTTATAATAAATACATTTGTTATTGTTGGGGTGATAACGGCGAGTCTGTCGCTACGTCGCGATCGCCGATCGTGTAACGTCGAAAGAGGCGTGGAGA